ACCTAGGAGTTCATGCTAACACTTTTTAAATATTTTTATAATTATTCTTGGTGACAATTCCTTTAGTTATTTTTATTTTTTTAAAAAAATATTTTATTTATTACTTTTATTTTATGTGTATGAGTATAATGCCTGAATGTGTATAAGTGTACCTGTGTTGTGCAATACTGGTAGAGGTCAGAAGAGGTCATTGGATCCCCTGGAACTGGCGTTATGAATGGTTTTTAGCTGCTATGTGAGTGCTCGGAGTTGAACCCGGGTCCTCTGCAAAAGCAGTCAGTGCTCTTAACTGCTGAGTCATCTCTCTGGCCCCTTCTTTAGTCATTTTGAGTCATATGGAAAGAAAATTCATTTACTTCTTAAGTCATATGCAAGTCCCCTCAAATTTGATTCATTCTCATCTTAAAATCTTTTTCCACCTCCCAATATAACAAATCTATCTCAAGAAGACACACTTGCACACTAAGGATAAATAATAGGCCACAGTTGTAGGAGGTATTATGATTTTCTTTTCTTTTAAGCAACATCAATAATAGTGAATAAAGCTTCTAGATAGGACGATTTTGCACTGATTTGAATATATTTACTTCTCATAAAAAACGAGTCTTGAACGCCACAGTCTATTCTTATGGGTAATCTATATTTTACATGGTATATTAATAAAATACATTTTAACATTAAACATTTTAAATAAATTTTAACATTAACCTAAAATGTTTTTCCATTAAAAACAGACAAATACATACTACTTACTGAACTTCTAGTTTCTGCAGCCTTTGCCTTTTTTAGTCTGGTTTTTGCAGCATCCAAATCCAGTCTCTTATTTTGTAATAGTTTCCTTTCTTTCTATAAATAATGAAAACAAAAGAAAGGCTAAAGACACTAAAATTCAGTAAGCGCAAACACATTTAAGGAATTACCTTCCATTAAATATATCACTGATAATGTTCTATGCTTATAAAACTAGGGCTGTAACACGACCTTGCAGTATCTCATTTTTACTTTTCTTTTTTAAGATAGGGCCTGACACTATAGACCAGGATGGGCTGGTCCTCACTATGTAAACCAGACCAAGCTGGCTTCAACTTGGGGCAATCCTCCTTCTTCTCCCTTCCAAATATTGGGATTATAGGTAAACCACACCTGATTTTTTTTGTGAAACATAACTCCTACAGGCTCCTGGGACCCTGGTCATATGAACTCACAGCAATGGTGTCAGTATATACAATCCTCATGCAAACTCAAGCAGACAAAAACCCAGCACAGAACTGTGGAAATGGGCAGAAGGCCCCAATCTTAGCCAAAGAACTATTCACAGCTGATTACTACCGGGTGAGAAAGAGCTGATCTTCTTAAAGGGAGGGACTCTAGACCTCAGTGGACGAACTTGCACTGAGGGACATCTAGCGATACTAACTTAACAGGCCTTAACATAAAAACAGGCCTTAACATAAATGACAGAATGCATGAATTCCTGTGAGAGAGAGAGAGAGAGAGAGAGAGAGAGAGAGAGAGAGAGATATGTGTGTGTAATAAAGATGATTAAGATGTTCTGTACGGAATGCACAAAAATTCAATAAAAAATTTACAAAAAATGATCACAACATTCTTTAGATTCTAGACAACTGAGAAGTCTGGAAAAGACAGCATAGAAACAAAGGTATACTGATTTTAGTATTTTGCAAATACATTCCCTTCTACAGGGGTTTTCCCACAGTGAACATCTGGCACTATCTTGACTTTTCACAACTGGGGGGGTGGTGTTAATGGCATTTGTTGGGCAGAAGCCAAGGATGCTGCTCAACACCTGACAACACAAGCAAGGTCCCACAGCCAAGAACTGTTTAGCCTACAGTGTCAGAAGTGGCCAGGGTGAGAAACCCTGTTTCAAACTGTTATAGATTATCCAGAATGTGCTTCCTGAGAAGAAAATAGAGACCTAGGTAAGGTTCCTTGAAGTTCTATGTGATCTACCTCAAGGAGTATTGGTCAGGCTGTGTTTAGTATGTCACAGTATCAAATGTAACTCAATTACTCCAAAACAGAATGTCAAATTTATACACTGAATATTAAGCAATACATAGTTTCTTATAGTAACAAAGTTTCTTGTCACATTTTATCCTACTGATATGCTGTATTTTTCAATAGTGGGGACTGAACCCAGGGCCTTGAGCTTGCTAAGCAAGTAGGTCACATCCTCAGCTTGAGTTAGTATCTTTCAAGACATTTCAATTTATGTTGATCCTAAACTACTTATTTACATGAGGTAAACCCATGGAAAGCATGAGGAAAGTTTGTATGATGTTTTGTAGTATGATATGCAAATTAAAGCCTACGGTTTTATGTTTAATAAAGGGCAGTCTTGTAACAATCTTAGGGAAAAAAAAACCTATCAAGATCTGCATTCTCTGTCACTAATAAAACAAGCTTTATTTACTAATTAAATTTAGAAAGATAACATTTTTTATGCTTTAGCAATAAAAATAACATTGTTAAAAATGATATACTTCTAGTAATAAATAAAGCATAATAGCAGAAATATACCCTCCAATAATTAGGTTTTTAGTTCCAGTTTAAACAAATATGTAAGTATACTATGGTGAAATTATGTATCATATTTTCATATTCCAGGAATTTCTCTATAGATTTTAGTGCTGGTAGTGAATGAGAATGAATGCAAAAGCGTATCAACAGTTTAGGACTGAAATATGGAAATGATGTGATTAACAGTCCTTCTTGAAGTCTGTGTTCTGTCTGTGAATATGCACTTGTTCAGAACATTTAGGTGTTCTACTCTGATACATTTACCATCATTAAGAGGGTAAATTATGGGGGTGGAGAGATGGCTCGGCAGTTAAAAGCACTGACTGCTCTTGCAGAGGACCCAGGTTCAATTCCCAGCACCTACATGGTGGCTAACAAGTGCCTGTAATGCCAGTTCCAGGGGATCTAGTACCTTCTTCTGACCTCTGCAGGCACTGCACGACACAGGTACACTGCCACACATGCAGGTAATACACTCATACACATAAAATAAAAATATTTAAAAAGAGGGTAAATTATTCACTAAAAACTGTTAAGCATAAGTCTAAATTATTTGACTAAAAAAGATAACATTTTCCAACTCACTGCAATTGTTTTGTAATCTCCTTCTATAAAGTTTCTTAATGGAGTGAGAAAATTTAAGGCTGATGTTTGAATCAGCTCTCTGTCAGCTGTTCCAATTCGTTTTTGTGTTTCTCCACATTTAATAAGGGCATTACCTGCAAAGGAAGAAAGAAGTTTTGTTTTTTCTTAACCAGCATCTGGTAACATCAGAAAAGTTTTGAAATCACATAAAGATAATTCACCTAATTGATATGCTTAAATGTCAGCTGTCAACTTGCTTACTTTAACAAAAATAGCACATTATGTGGAAGGCACACTTACTTAAAAGTAAATTTAAGCAAAAAAGACAAAGATGAACTCCTTATCATATCATTAACCCTAATTTCTACTAATGAGACTAAAGAGGACAGATATACCAAAATTATAAGGCTGGCCTGGGGATATAGCCCAATATAAATCTTAAAATATTTTAACAAGTAGATAAAGTCATAATCTGTCCTGTTTCTCTATCTATACATTTATCTTAAATATCTATAAATAATGCCTTAGGGAAGGCTCATGTTTTACAGTACGTAAGCCTTGATATTTCAACAGGACAAGTAAAGTAGCAAAACTGAATTAGAAAGAACAGAAAAAAGGAAACCATAAGGTCAGGTTTCTATTTCTAGTTCTACCTCTAACAAGGTTAAGCTCTGTAGATCTTAATCCTTTTATTGTTAAAATGAGATTAGATCTGACTGATGAGGAGTTAAGAACTCCCTGGATGTAGACAGGTCTGTATTTGAATTATTATCAATGTGATCATAGATTATTTAACTTTTCCAAGACTTGTCTTAATTTTCTAGCAATAGGTTCTTGAAGTCCAATTCCAATGATCAGGGTACATTCATGAGAATGAATAGGAGTGCAAACAGACTGGGAAAGTAAGAGAATCTAAAAGCTGTTCTAACATTCATGTGCTACTAGATCCTCTGCTAGGTAAAGAAAGGGCTGGTCTCCACCCCATACTTTTATGAACCCAGTACAAACAAGTACATTTAAAGGACAAAGTTTTTCTAAAATTAAAAATAACAATTTAGAAACCATTTTGAAAAAATTTAATCATTTTCAGACTTTTCAAAGAATTATATTATGAAGAATACTGTAAATATTTCAATGTTATACATATAAAAAGCCATTCAATTGATTAATGGCATTCCTCTGGCCTCCACATATCCTCACACGCAAGTACACACATAGAAGCGAACACACACATGCACACATACACATACAAACAACAAGACTTTTGGATTTTACATCCTTTAATTCAAGACTGAGCTCTATCCCTACAAACTGAGAATGTGGAGGCTCGTGTGACAGCTCAGGGTAAAGGCACTTGCTGCCCAAGCCTGATGATTTGAGTTTGATTTCTGGGACCCACATGGTAGAAGGAGAGAACCAACTCCTGGCAAGTTGTCCTCTGACCTCCACACACCCACTGTGGCATGTGTCTACCTACAGACACAGACAGTCGGAGTGAATAAAAATGTAATAAAAAATAAAGTCAGCACTGCAACTAATAAAGCTGGCTTAACTATAAACACAATGGTAGAAAATATGAACTAGAAATGCAATGTATTTAGGACACCCAGAGATAACCACTATTTGCATATGTAGTTGCAATTGTAAAACTTAAACAAAAGCAGTAAGATTTGATCAAACATTTACCAAGTGTAAAGTGTGTTCAAGTGTAAAGTGTGTTTAATAAAAAAATAAATGAGCGCTGAAAGTTTTGATGTAATTATAGCACAAACAGTATTACAACAGAGATACTGGAAGATCAATAGCAATGTAAGTCAATTAATTTTTAGAATTAAGGAAAATGTGAATGTTCTGAATAAATATATGCTTAAATATATTTATTACTT